TCTACTACAATCTTACCAACACCTTCAACGACAACCTCAACGACTACCTCAACGACTACCTCAACAACCGCTTCAACGACAATCTCAACAACAACTTCAACGACTACCTCAACAACCACTTCGACGACAATCTTAGCAACAACTTCAACGACAACCTCAACGACTACCTCAACAACCGCTTCAACGACAATCTCAACAACAACTTCAACGACTACCTCAACAACCACTTCGACGACAATCTTAGCAACAACTTCAACGACAACTTCAACGACTACTTCGACGACAATCTCAACAACAACTTCAACGACTACTTCAACAACAACTTCAGCGACAACTTCAGCGACAACCTCAACAACAACCTCAACAACAACTTCAACGACTACTTCAGCGACAACCTCAACAACAACCTCAACAACAACTTCAACGACTACTTCGACGACAATCTCAATAACAACTTCAACGACTACTTCAACAACAACTTCAACGACTACTTCGACGACAATCTCAACAACAACTTCAACAACAACTTCAACGACTACTTCGACGACAATCTCAACAACAACTTCAACGACTACTTCGACGACAATCTCAACAACAACTTCAACAACAACTTCAACGACAACCTCAACAGCAATCTCAACGACAACCGCACCAGGTAATTTTGTGCATTTTAAACAAACCCATTTGTTTTGATCCTAAAAGCATTTGTGTATCATAGACAAGAAAATTACGCTGAAAAACATAGAACAATGCAAAGAGCACTCTGAAAATTTCTCGACCGTTCAAATGAAAATAGAAATCTTCGAAGAAAAGACTATTCTATATCACAATACTTGAGGTACAAGGAATCCTGCTGCTTTGCCCCAAATGCTGAAATATTCCCTAACAAACGAACCTTTCAGTAACGTAACAGAACTAGACGGAAGCTTTATTCTGTCAGAATACAAGCGGAAAAATATGCCATTATAGTACTCTAAACTAAAACTATCGAAAAACCCAAAACTGATAGTGTTAGGTTGATACTCTTGCTGATCGAGGAAATCAAGCTGAATCGCACAAATAGACTTTATTTGTATTCAATATGAACTAACTACTACATATCACACACACATCCACTTTTAGAAAACATCTCGATATATAGTACTTTCAACAAAGAGTCCTCGAGAAAAACCCAGGCTAATATACATAAACGGAAAAGTCTCACAACATCTGTGAAAATACCCAAGTGATATCGTTGGGAACAAAGCAACGATAGTGGGAAAAATGTTATATACAAAGTATAGGTTACCGTGACCTAGAAGATGATATGATACTTCTTGTATAATGGAAACGAAAAAAAATAGAGTTGTACATATATTCGAGAAAACTCGAATCCGGGACACATGTACGGTTTCTTTATGACCTCATCGATGTATTTCACTCTATAATTTCAATCAATAATCATTTCCTTTAAACAACCATTTTGCTGTATAATTTTGAACAGACCATAATACTTGGGTGAGAATTTTTCTAAATTCTTGTTCATCATTTGTTTGAGTAAGGCGAACTGTCCCGGCTGTAATCTGGTTTGATCTTGACGTCCTGTGTCATAGGTGTGTTTGCTGATATTATGCTGTTTCTATATTGCTTTTTGCAATTGACTTTGCTTGTTTTACAAACTTAATTAGTTGTGTATAGTAATCAGTGGTCGTTGATAACTTAGTAATTGATGCTGGTATAACAAATGGTAGAACTGGATCTCTACCATACATTAGTTTGATGGAATGGCTATTGACACGCCCGAGCGTGTCAACTAGAAGCTATTGCCACTCTCAAGAGTGTCCTTGTTGACACTCCTGGAAGTGTCAATAGACACACCCTTAATTCGAATGGTTCCATTCCTGTTGTTGTCTGCTTGGATGTATTGTATGTAAATGTTACGAATTGTAGATAGTCATCCCAATCCGTTTGTTGTTGGTTCACATAAGCACCAATTGATCCTGTTAATGTTGCGTAAAGATCCTTCAGTTAAAGCATTGGTTTGTGGATGATAGGTTGTTGTTTTAATATGACTGATACCACACCTGGATGAAATAGCGTCGAAGACGTTTGCCATAAAATGACTTCCTTTTGGTGTACCATATTGTAAAAGAATCTTCTCCGCCTGGAATTTTGCTGCTGTTTCAGCTGTATAATTAGGTATTGCTGGTATAACAGCCCACTTTGATAAATAATTTGTATAGACCAAAACGTACTTGTTACCAGATGTTGATTGCAGAACGGAGCACGTAAAAAAATCTTACGTTTTTTAGTATCCACGAAATTTAGACCCAGTAAGTCCAAAATATCAGTGGGTGATGCAATCGATTCTAAAGTTCCAGCTGATTTTTTCCCTGATACCTTGAATTGTTGACATTTTGTATATAATAACATATGTTGTTTAATAGTGTTATACATTCCTGGCCAATAATATCTATTATGAATTTTGTTCCATGTTTTTCTTAAGCCTAAACGTCCACTTGTTGAATTATCATGGTAAGCTTGTAATAACTCTTGAATCATCGATGTATGTGTCAATGGTAGCTTTAATTTCGACTGATCCCGACGTTCAATGATTTTATGTATGACACCATTTTCTAGTTGGAATGATTTAATTGGATGACCCATCTTTAATTGATCATACAGTAATTTGATTTTGGTGTCATCTAATTGATGTCATTAGATTGCTGTTGGATCAAACGGTGATATAATAGCCATATTAATGTTGTTCATCTGTCCAGTCATTACTTCTAATTGTTGGTCAGCAATATCATCTAGTTTTTCAACTGAATGTCTTGATAAACAATCAGCAACACAATTTGAACTACCAGATGCGTGTTTTATGTTAAACGAATATTCTTGTAGTTGTAATGACCATCGCTCTAACCTGCCATTCTTAGACGATTGTTTGCTTAACCAACATAATGGATGGAGGTCGGTAATGACTGTGAAATCGCGAGCATATAGATATGGTCGCAATTTCAGAGTATACCACACTAGTGCCAAACATTCTTTTCAACGGTCGAATATTTCTTCTTTTGCGGTGATAAAGATCTCGATAAATACTGAATTGGTTTAGCATCTCTATCTTCCATAATCTGATGCAAAACACCACCGAAACCACAATTTGATGCATAGGTGCTCCATTTTAGTGTTAATTTTGATTTACCGTCATCAGATGCCAAAAATGCATATTATGCTAATCACTGTTTAAGTTTGAAACGCTCCTTGACACCGTTGTGTTCATTAATTCAGTATGTTTGTTTTTGAACGCATTTAGTGGCGCTGCGATTGTTGAAAAATTTGGAATGAAATGACGAACAAATGGATAGACTGCTTTCGTTGTAGTTGGTATCGGAAGTTCTAATGTTTTGTTTACATTTCATGATGTTGGTTTAATACCAGTTCGTGTGATTCTATAACCAAGATAATCTAATTCTTTTCTTGCTAATGTACATTTAACACTATTTAGTTTGACATTGGCTTTTTTCCATGATATCAATACTATATCCATATGCTTTTCATGTTTCTCAAACGTTGGTGAATATACAATAATGTCATCTATAAACACCAATGCGATGTCCCTGCGTAATGTACCTAATACTGAATTGGTTACCCGTTGGAATGTTAACGGTGCGTTTGATAGTCCAAATGGCAATACATTTACTCCATAAAGGCCGTCGGTGGTGACGAAAGCCATTTCTTTTTCTTGTCACATTCCGCGACTGGGATTTCTCGATAGCCAGCTTTTAAATCCAATGTTCAAAAATAATTGCAATCAGACAATTTGTAAATGATATCATCAATGCGTGGTAACGGATAAACGTCTCGTTCGGTGATCAAATTCGGTTTTCTGTAATCTACACAAAAACTTGCCTTACCGTCCTTTTTCTTGATGATGGCGACTGCTGATGACCATGCACTTGTACTTGGTCGAATGCTGCGATTTTCCAACATTTCTTTCACTTGTTCATTGAAAATTTGTCTTTCTATGGTCGCTTTTCGATATGGATAGGACTGAATTGGTTGATGACTTGGTTTGACTGGAATGCGATGTTCGACGTGGTTGTTATTGATTGTTGTTACTGTTGACGTATCAAACACGGCCCAATGTTTCAGTAAGATAGGCTCCAATTGTTGTCTTTGTTATCTCGATAAATGAGAAACTAGTTGAGCAACGATTGAGTTGACTGATGATGTTGATTTTTGCTCAACATCGTCTGAGGTTACTGACGAAACACAATTGTGAACTGGTTGATAATGGTGATTTGGTGTTGGTTGTTGATTGATTTTTCTGTATGGATTGGCATAACACCACCTGTGATCTTCTTGTTGTTCGATTGCCCCTAGATTCGTGCTTTAACTATTGTTTTAGCTGATTTGGTTGTGTTTAATAATGATACTGGTGTTATATTGTGGTTGACAAATAATAATGCATGTGGGACCACAACATGTTGTTTGTCCATCACTCTTGATAATGGTGTAAAGATAGCCGTCGTCACTTGAGGCACTGTTGTTGTTGCTTGTATAACTTTTGCTGATAATGGTCGTATCATTACATCTTGCAACGTTTTAATATAATATATTTGACGATTATTGAGGTGTTCTTCAAACTTGACTGTTGTTTGCTGATGTTGTGATCGAGTTGTTAAATTTTAAAAGTAATAACTATATGATACCTATTGTAGAATAGAAATGAAAAGAAAAGAGAGTTCTACATATATTTGAGGAAAGAAAAACGAAAGTCATATGGGAAGAAAAAGACATGAAAGGTTAGAACAGAACGAAAGATAACAGATAGATACAAAATAGAACCAACATAAAAACACATAGGCAAATGAAGATTGAAACTGCTCATTTCCAGAAAACTTCGTTCCTGCTCATCTATTGGAAAAGTGTCTCCTAACAACAGAACTTAGAATCGAGATTGGGTTATACCACTACAGCTATAGTACTAATTCGGCCTGTAACCTTTCTCCCTTCAGCCCAATGGAGCACTACTGGAAGCATGGCAACAGCACGCTATTATCATACTGGAACCCTGTTAAATTCGGGCACAGTTCTTGTCACTGGTGGTAACACGGGATCGTCGGCTACTGCTACTTGTGAAATATATGATCCATCAACGAGCCAATGGAGCACTACTGGAAACATGGTAATACCACGCTATTATCATACTGCAACCCTGCTAAACTCGAGCAAAGTTCTTGTTACTGGTGGTTACACAGGATCGTCGATGACTAGTACTTGCGAAATATATGATCCATCAACGAGCCTATGGACCACTACTGCAAACCTGACAACAACACCCAATTATCATACTGCAACCCTGCTAAATTCCGGCAAAGTTCTTATCGCTGGTGGTTTTATAGCATCGACGACTGCTACTGCTGTTTGTGACATATTCGATCCAACAACAGGCCTAGTGAGCACTACAGCAAGCATGCATACAGCACGCTATTCTCATACTGCAACCCTGCTGAATTCCGGCAAAGTTCTTGTCGTTGGTGGTTACGACACCACGCGTCTTGCTACTTGTGAAATATTTGATCCCTCAACGAGTACGTGGACCAATACTGGAAGCATGGCAGTAGGACGCACTTTTCATACTGCAACCCTACTAAATTCGGGCAAGGTTCTTGTCACTGGTGGTTATACTCCATCGTCGCCTACTGCTGCTTGTGAAATATTTGATCCCTCAACGAGTACGTGGAGCACTACTGCAAACATGACAACAGTGCGTTATTCTCAGACTGCAAATCTGTTGAGCTCCGGCCAAGTTCTTGTCGCTGGTGGTTACAGCGCATCGTCGCCTCTTGATACTTGTGAAACGTTTGATCCATCAACGAGCCAATGGAACACTACCGCAAGTATGACAGCACCACGTTATACGCACATTGCAAACCTGTTGAACTCCGGCGAAGTTCTTGCCGCTGGTGGTTTTACCACAGCGGCTATTGCTACTTGTGAAAATTATTCTATATGAATCATCTATTGTTTATCTTCATATACACGAAAGTAGGAGTATCTGATGGTTAATAATAGATCTATGATTAACCAATCTACTCTACTAACTACATAAATAACTTATTTACATACTAACTTATTTTTATTCATATCAACAGGACGTACTATTTATATAAATAAAGTTTCTTTTCTCCTCATCTGGTCTATGGCTACAAGATTAAAGTTTGATTCCATTTGTATTCTGTGATAATGTCACGCAGAAGTTCAAGAGTGAACGAGGCTAAGTCGATTGAAGAGTCGAGTGGTATCGAGGACAGTGTTGTAATCAGAAGTGATGTTAAATGGTATATCAAAAACTGTTTGTCCCAGCACGAGAAAAGCAGTTAGCATCTACAGATTCACTAGATATACTGATAGATGCTGCAAGCTGCATCGGAAAAAGAGAGGGTGATGGTGACGAAGGTGAGGGTGTTTCCCAAATAACGATAAATCGAAGGAGACGAAGTTCAACGGGAAAAGTATAAAAAGAAAAAGGAAAGCTTTACCCAATTTAATGAAAATTGGTTCTTTTGATTTTTTGATTTTTTTGTGTACTAAGAGGAGTACAGTAGATGAAATAAAGCGCAAAGGGTGAAAAGAGAATAGAAATGATACGGACGTTGTTTGAATAAATGCTTGATTAAACAATAAAATGGTTTTATTAAAAACATATATGTTTTTAAAAACATGCTGAGCGGTACTACTGGTAAGTCGATTGTGTTGGAAAATGAATTTTTAGTTGTGCTACGTATGAAATAATCAATTGACGTTTTTTGCAGGGGGTCCAATTTTGATCACGCAAGAAAATATTTGAGGGGGTCTTTATTTGATCCCGTAGTCATATATGCACCCTGTACTGTTTATATATCACACAGTCAATGACAGTGGGAGGGGGTATACATATATCACGTCGTCATACCTATGCCACTTGGATTTGAGAAAGAAATTGTGTTTTTTTTAAAAATGGAGGCGTTTTGTTTCATGGGGTGTTTTTCTAGGAGAATTTTGCAGTGCATTCATGTTCCGGTGTAAATACGATGGAAGGAGGAAAGGTAGCTGTTTCTTCCTTTCTTTCTGTGATGTAAGAAAACGAAAGAAGACTGAAAACGTTTAATACAAACGAAATACAACGAATACAATATCACACACACACATCCACTTTTAGGAAACATCTCGATATACAGTACTTTGAACCAAGAGTCCACGAGAAAAACCCAGGCTGTTACACATAAACGGAAAAGTCTCACAACATCTGTAAAAATACCTAAGTGATATCAATGAGGGTGTTTGACAAATAATGATATATCGAAGGAGAAGAAATTAAAGCGGTAAAAGACAATAAAGCAAATGGAAAGCTTTACCGAATTTAATGAAAATTGTTTTTTTTGATTTTCTGATTGTTTTGTGTATAAGAGAAGTACAGTAGATGAAATAGAAGAGGATGAAAGAAGAAGAGAAAAGATACAGACGTTACTTGGATAAATGTTTGGTTAAATAATACAAGGTTTTTTGGTTATGTTTTGGTTTTGTTTTAACAGAAAAATATATGATTTTTTAGAAAATATAACGACGAATGTTGACCATATGTAAAAAAATGGAGGTACGAGAATTTGTACGCGTTTCGAATGTCTTCGTCAGTAAATGCTCTTTTGGGGACATGGTGTAGCTGTCAAGATGGTCTAGGAAGTGGAGAAAGTTTTCTAACGTATAGTGTGCAGTGGCTTTATTAAAGATGGGACGGAGTTTCGAGTCAAGAAAGCTTGGCTGTAGGCGATTTAATCGCGGCTACTATTGGAGTCAGGGGCTCACCTATTTTGTGGTCTTTTGGGTTGTAATATAGATCTGGTAGTTCGCACTCATCTAGAGAGAATCTGAGTTTCTTATACTGGTTCTGGATGATACGTTTCTGCCGAAGAAATAGTCTTAAAAGCTCGTCTAATTCAGAAACAGTGTGTTGGAGAGGGTTATCAGGGATTTCTTCATACGCATTAGTTTTCTCCATATAGGCGTCTGATTTGATTTGGTATGCAGTCAGAGTATCCAAGTGGAATATTTTTGATTTATCAGTTTTTCGAAATACGACTCGATCCTGAGATTGTTGTTTCTGGGGCGTCATAAGACCTTTGCAAAGATGTGGATCAGAACGCTGCTTGGAGGACTCAAATGTGACCCGATCGGCAAAAGAATCAACTACTGGGCGAGGAATATCGGGAGATCGAATTTCTTCGTTGGAGCGGGTTTGAATTTTCTCGCCCATAGGCTCAATCTCAGAGGTGAGGCGACGAACGGCCGTTATCGGATTAGGTGAAACATACGCTGGACCTTTATTTAGTACCTGACGCTGATGACTGTCTAGATTGATGGCGTAATTCTTAATCTGGGGCGGGAAATTAATAGTGGTATAGTGGGGATGAACTTTTGATTTTGCATAAGGCGCTGTAGGGTTTATGGTGGAGGATGCTTTTCTGCACTTTTCTTTAAAAAATGAACCTTTTTGAGGGTTTTTTGTTCGTTCTTTTTTGGAAGATTTGAAAGGATAATGTCGATGTGCACAAGAAAAAGGGGGTTAAGGGGGACAGCAGTTTTTGACGAACGTTATGAATTTCTCTCTCAATTGCTTCTGTCTCGAGGTTTTTAGTTAAAATCATACACTCGGTTAAAGTCGACTTTGCCGTAAGGTGTTATTTCAGCGTTCTATGAACGTAGGATATCCTAGGTCAGGATTCGGGCGATTCCCGAAAGGATTCACTCACAGACTGGTTCTAACTCTGCTTCCGTTTGCTCCAAGCAGTACTGGACCAACACTTTCTGTTCCAGGTGTCGCTCTAAAAATTGATCATACTTAGGCATGCACCAGTTCCAATCTTAGGCTTGGAGGATTGGTACAATCAGGATTGGTACCAAGCTGGGATTGGTACCAGTTAGGCTTAGTAACAATCCCAACCATCTCCAGTTAGGCTTGGTACCAATCCTCCAAGCCTAAGATTGGAACTGGTACATGCCTAATCATAATGATTAACTTTGTGCACAGAGCAGGTGGTTTTTGTTTTGTTTAATCATTTTATTAAGATATATTCTAGGTTGATTTGTGTGTATTTTCACTGATCATATAGCATCAGGATCATATAGCATCAGGAGTAAGTACAAGGAAATGCTGTGGTGATTCGTTTCTTCCGTGGCTCCAACTCTATCTTTGATGGCTCCAGATAAAACTTTTCATGCTCTATCGATCATTGAAGGAGAGAATAGGAAGAGAAATTGATCGAAAATATTAACAGTGAATAGATGTTCATGAGTACATATGGAAGGCCTCATCGTTTATCGATTTGATATCTTACTTGTCGCGTTTGACAAGTGATCAACGAGAAAATCGCTCGATGATATAATGTTTCCACCCCACGATTTGATGAGTAGTTTTTATGTTGTTAGATGGATTGTGTTTGTTGATTGGTTGCGTTTGATTATTAGTTCGGTTTGAAGTTGGGGTATAGTGATGCTTAGTTGCATTAGCTTGGGGACATCTGACTCTTTAGGATACATTTGACATCGATTGATAGCTTCGTCGAAAAGAGATAGAAGCGTTTGACCCGAATGATGAATGAATTGAAATTAATATGTCCTCTCACGATGCTCACTCTCTCAGTATTGTTACAATCGATCATATCTTTCTTGAGAACACTGATCGTATCTAGTTGTTAATAACGGATGATTGACTCTCTGAAGATTGTGAGTCATCTTTCTTTGTGCATTTGGAAGAAGGAAATAGTTTGATGTGTGATAACATCGTCATTCTTATTAGTCTATTTCTTTCTCCTTTTTTCTCTTCGTATTCTGCAAGAGAGAAAATAGTATAACGTACAGTTTTGAACTTGACGAATAACGATAGACAAACTCCTGTTTAACGACAATTTTCATTGCTACGTGCGCAATTTTGGTAACCGGGTAAAGTTTTATTCTGTTTAATAATAAGTAGCTGTATCCATTGCTGTTGATATATGGGTGATTTGCGTTCAAATAACAAGAGTAAGAACATTTGGTCGCGGATTACTCTAGAGCAGTTGGTTACAGGTATCGCTTCTCTGGAACATCGTGGTAGCCTTCTCGATACCGAAACATGGCGACTAAACGCTGTGACTGGTTTGCACCGTTCTCTTTGGGGTGAACTCATTGATCTATTAAAGCTTGATCATAGCGAAACTACACGTCACTCGTTGTACAAGCTTTGGCATATAAATCGTCACAATATTCGGCAGACAAGAAAAGAACAACAACTGGTAGCGAGTGCGATGGAAATGCGGCTGATATTGATCGAACAGAAGGATTTTTTGTTCTAGCGAGGAATAACTCATCTCTACATTCCAGTCCATCGCTACCGGTGCCGCCAGGGCCCAATACTCATGCTAGGAAACAAGAAACTGCTGATGACGCCAAAAGTTTCAGTGCTGACGTTAGTGAAACCTCGTTTGTTCTCACTCCCACCGAGTGGAAGAATGCTTTCAGTCGTATGCATCAGAAAATGAAATCTGATTGGACTGACATATTTTAGAAAAAGTTGGTTTCATGTGGACTTAAATGTGCAGTGAAATTTAAAACACCGTATATTAAAAAGGGAACACGAAAGCAAGCGTGCCGTTTCTTTTGCTGCCATGCTGCATGGAAAAAAAAGGACAGCATGGCCCATGTTGTATGCACTCTTAGCATCTGCTCCCGAAAATACCAGATAATTCTAGAAAAGGCATCGGACGAGAACATGTCGATACTCTTTCTTGTACGAACTACTGGCAAGGAGAATAACGATATCAACATTGAAATATCTGCACGTCAACCCCATGGTAAAAATCGCATCCTTGTCGGTACGTACTCCTACCGTTCAGCTCGGAAACGAATTTTAAAAAATATGATTTATATATTTTAGGACAGCGAGCGAACCAAATCGATATATCAGGTACTGTACCAAAGAGGACTATTCTTACGTTCATGTCGATGCTACAGGAAGTGTGCTAAAAAAAATGATAGAGCAAAAACTTTCCTTGCTGTATGCGCTCGTTTTTAAAGACGGGAATGACTCGAATGATACCATTCCGCTTGCTCATGGGGCTCTTGCCGATCACACTGTTTCGAGCATTGGTTATTTCTTCGGAAACGTGGCGCAAAGTATTGCCCAAGTGACAGGTAAATAATTCTTCTCTCTTTTTTTGTGATTGACTTTTCTCCTGCTATCATGAATGCAACTCTTCAAGCATCCAACGGAGAAAACATTAAGATTCATCACAATCGTTGTTGGAATGTTCTGTGTGGACACTACAATACTTCAGTTGTTGCCATGTCATTCATGCTGTCGCAAGAAGTTTGACGGCAGCGAATGTTGAGAAAAAGATTCGACAAGGCATATTGCATATATTCGCTTTCATCTTGTGTTGCAACGATATCAGACAACTATATGACCTTCTCGGATCAATCGTCAACATATTCGGTGATCCAAGTGAAGAGAACGCGCAAGAATATTTTGAACGATTGCTCGCTCGTAAATTCAACGTTGATAACGAAAGCGTGTCATTGTTAACCAATGATAAGAAGATATTCAAAAAACCTAAAAAGCAAAGATCAATTGAAAGCGGTCGATGAATATTTTCGTTCCAATACTGCCATCATCCATCAATCACCTTTCAATGAAGAAGCCATTCGACTATATCCCAGCCTTACTACTCTTATTAATTCGAAAACTAAATATAATGAAATTATCAACCCACTCTTTTCTCCACGAATAATTCGCATATTTTATAAATGGTGGGCATATTTACCGTTATGGACAGGCTTGTTGTGGCATTTCGAGGAGTGGTGTGCAAATAATATAGAAAAGACGGTACAACCAACATACAATCCTATTCGTCACTCCAATGCTTTAATTGAAAGTTATTTCTGCACAACGAAAAGGAGTATTTTTAAGGGAAAAACTCATGGTCGACCATCGGATATTATGATTGATCTGTATCGAAGCGTTCAAGCGCAGTTCAAAGCTAATAAATTTAGTGTGACACAGAGTTCGAAGGGTAGGAAGAGAAAAAAGAAGAACGTGAATGTAGTGGAGAAGTGAGGCAAAAAAAATGTTGATCTAAACCGTCGAAGTATATATTTCAATATCATCGACACATTTGCCTCGACGTGCCCGATCGAAAATTGAAGATCAATCTTACTGCGTTACAAAAAAATCAAGTAGACTCTTTGAAATTTCTTTTTTCTCTTTAAATTTTACATCTGTGTTTAGTGAATCGGACGAGAGTGCAACAGTTTCTTCATTCAATGAGCAAATATCTACTTCTGATGATACAGAGGATAACACGTCTCTAAAGTAAGAAAAAAATTATTATCATATAAATGAAGATCTTGTTAATTATAGTCGGTCATCATGTTCTAGTGAAACAAAGTCTTCGTCTGAAAATGTTTCAACGGTAAGTAGTAAAAGTTCTCTTGATGTTCGTATGAGTTTAGATAAATCAACGACCGACAATGATGAATCAAGCAAAGCATCTGGTGAATTTAATTTTGGGACGAATCTCGTCTCTCCGCTGAAGAACGCCTTGCATCAATCAAGCAACAGTATATACCATTACGTGCATTTGTCACTGATAAAGAAATGAGATTTCTCCTTTATATAGAACCGAAGGTGACAAATAATCAGTCATCAAAGAACATCTCTTGTCAGCTGTCACCACAATCGGAAACAATTATTGATGGTTACACAATACAATGGCCAAAATTTCAAATTCGAAATGCTCTGTTTCAAGGTTGTTTAACAAAAAGAATTAAATAGCTGTCTTGCAATGCTTGCTGTTATATAATCTTGCTTTTTTACAGGTCAATCGTACTCAATTAATAATACGTGTAATGTCGATTCGGCGTTATTTGCTCTTTATTTCTTGTATCGAACTGATCTCAACATCGCCGAAGAACTTATCAATGCCCCAGGAAAATCATCGTACGAGGCACTTTACAAAACTTTTCACCTCGTCGAAACAGAAGGGTGGGATGCTGCATGTATTAGTTGGTTGCACACACACAATCGTTTCAAAACACCTGATCGGCGAACAAAGAGCATGTTTGGATCATTGGATGAAAACGTTTTCCGCTTTATCAAAAGTCAACAACGTCACTCGAGCACAATAATATGCTCAAGACCTGAGTGCAAAGCTAGAAAACGTACTGTTACAAGTACAGAATTATCTATGCCCTGAGTAAATATTTTTCAATTCTTCATAAACAATTCTTTTCAGGTCTTGTCATGACAACGTTGAACAGTTCGAAGTCGAAACTATCGGCAACTGTACAGCGATGAAGAAACGCCTCGACGACGTGACGGCAGCCGATGCTCATCTAAAAATGAGAAAAGGTCGAGTGTCAATAGTTAATGCTGAGACAAACAAGCAAGAATATGTGTATGTATAAGTGTTTCTCTCTCTCTTTTGAACTTTAATATTTCGTTGGATTATAGAGAAGGATTCCTATGTAATGCACAAACTGTCGCATCTCCCAGCAAATTTGACTGTGGTGATCCTTCTTTCGCAATAGTCGATCTCACAGCACGTATACGGCGAAGCAACGATGAAGGATATGAGTCAAATCCTGTTCGCCCCCGTGACTTAAGACATGTGCTGAGCATTGGCTCTTCAAGGTATGTTGATAATAAATTTCTACTTTTTTTCTCATTTAGAAAAAAATTATTATAACGCGTGTTTAAAAAGTCTATTTTTGGTTTTGATTCTTATTTCTGATATTAAATAATGTATCTGCTTAATCGTATATCTATCTCATTCATTTTCTAACTTTTTTATTTTTCGTATATATAATTAGCTACAGGTTACGTGCTGTGATAAGTCACAAAAATGCACATTTCACTACCACCCTTATCGGCAACGACGATCAGCTCTACATTTTCGACGATGTCAAACATGTCAGAAATTCAACAGACAATATCAAAACTAGCATTTACACGAAAATTCCTGAACTTTAACTATTTGTGTTCATTTTTTTCTTGTTTTTATTTCTATTTTTTAAATGTTTCTGTTACCTTTTTGCTATCATTCAGATAAATAAATATAAATAGATTGTCAATAATGTATACATAAGATGATTTTCTTTTGATGATTGCTTTTTGTCAACACCTCAAACCTAAACACATGTTTATGTTATCATCAATCGAATGAAATGAGCAAAAGACAATTTTTAAGAAGAATTACACGTTCAGTATTGCAGTTGTGTTATTTATCAGAGCGCACGTATGAAATATAAACTGATGAGCATCCGCTTCGACCGCTTAATTAATGCGCTTGAAATATCGTAATTGTTCATTTTCAATACAGAACACTAGCCTATAATGCAGAAAAGAAGAATACAGATGATAATAGAAAAAAGTTAAAGAAAAGCAAATCAATGAACAATACAGAAATATTTTTCGCTACTGTTGCTTAACATATGATATAAAAAATTGACGAAACAAAAATTCTTCTGAATAAAAGCCCATCAATGTATGAACAAGACAAATATCTGCGCTTGAAAAGAAATCAGTTAACATCATTGTCTGATAATTTAGAGTGCACGCAATACTTCCTTGACTGATACGAGTTTGTTTTGTGTCAAAGAAACCGTAATAATGACGAAATCAATCAAAAGCAAACTGATTTTACTTGAAAACTATCATAATTCTTTTCACAGTTAAACTATATCGTATAATATCTCGTCATTGGTCATATTTTCGATCAATTTCTTTTTCTTTCGCTCTTGACCAATCTCTCGCTTTCTCTTTTTTTTTCTTACCTGTCACAATTTCTCTTATATACATATATATGTATATAAAGGAGAATAAATCCATTGTTCATGTTCTTCATAATCAGTTTCATTCTCAAAGGGATGGCGAAAAATCTTTAATAACATCCTCGCCCATGAATATTATCGGTGATCAGCAAGAAATTCCACATTTTTCTCAAATAACAGTAGCCAAGATCCTCAAACAGATAAGTAGCAATAAAATAGGCTTTGAATATTTGTGTCCCGATGCGTTAAAATTTTTTTCAGAAACAATTTTTTCAAGTGTTGATATTTCTTACACAATATTCGACGTTCAAGAATTATTAGCTGCTTTTACTCAACTCATTGTGGGTCAAACTGTTTTCACTTTACGCTACTGTTCATTGAATCGATGAGAATCGTCACCCTGTCTCGCTGTCTCGACATTGTTTGTACGCCCTCCAATTGATAGTACATCCACATTCTTAGACTACCGTTTGATCCCGTTGCCGATTGCATTCAATGGGGATAAGTACGTTTACTCAAACCTTCCGAAGTCAATCGGTGTAAACGTAATACATCAGACATTGATGAATGCACGTTCTCGATTGTTGTTCAATGTCAAAAAATGCCCGTGTCAATTGCACTGTCGAGCTCAACGTGTTTAACTCAGCTGTTGGATGACGATACATTAACCCCTAGCATATGTCAAGTGATTCGAGCACAAGATATGCAGCAAGGTGTTATCGAAATTGTCAATGCCATATGGCTACTGTACAACATTCGTGAAATAAATTATTATCAGGCACATTCTACTTCGAACGGATTAGTTGAAACCATACCGATCAGCGAGCCAGCAATTTTACGTACACCGTGTGAAAAAACAATAGTATGTATGGACGTTCAATTACCAGCAGCAACGTGTATTCAACGTCGAATCATCTTTAAACCAAGTCTTTTTACCAACTTCCTGAATCGGCCAACTTTCATTATACCAATTAAAAACATGACGAAAAGATTGCTATCAACATATAAATTACAAGCAGCACAATCGGCGAAAGAGATCATGACAGAATTTAAACCAACTCAGTCAAAAACATAACAATTCATTAATGAACTTGGCACATTTATCGTATCTGTCGTATTCTTTCTCTTCTTAAGCATTCTTGTCTACATCATCAAGTGTAAAAAATATCATGTAAACACAGACACAGATAAACTTCAAACACTTGTACACGGCCTTATAATACCTTTTTACCTTATATAACAGATAAATAGTTCTGCCTCCTAAACACAATAATCCCAGCATATAATAAACGTACGTAATACGCTAGATGTGAATGTCAGAGGCTGATAATTTTAAGTGTACGGGAAGCGAGTTGGAGCCAGTGAAGAAACCCAGCCCCACAGCATTTTCTCATATTTACCCATGATGCCAGACGATCAAGGCACTAATTAGCGATTTTCTCCTTGCTGACTTTGTCAAAGATAAAACGTAAGATGTGCAATCGATAAAGCATGAAAAGTTTTATCTCGAGCCCTCAGAGATAGAGCTAGAACCAGTGAAGGAACGAATCCCCACAGCATTTTCTGATATTAACCCTGATGCCATATGATCAAGATACTAATTAGCGATTTTGTTCCCGATGGATCTGGAAAGGGAAAAGTAACAAGTGCAATCGATAGAGCATGAAAAGTTCTATCTGGAGCCATCAAAGATCGAGTTGGAGCCAGTGAAGAAACGAATCGCCACAATTGTTGTATTAAGATCAAACGCATTTTCTGATATTAACCCCTGAGGCCATATGACCAAGGCACTAATTAGCGATTTTCTCCTTGATGATTTGTCAAAGGGAAAAAGTAACAAGTGTAATCAATAGAGCATGAAGCGTTCTATCTGAAGCCAACAAAGATAGAGTTAGAGCCAAGGAAGAAACGAATCGTCACAGCATATTCTTGTACTTAATCGTAATGCCATATGATCAAGCCACTAATTAGCCATGTTGCCCTTAATGCCTCTATCAAAGCGAAATCTAAGATGTGCAATCGAAAGAGCATGAAAAGATCTATCTGGAGCCATCAAAGATCCAGTTGGAGCCAGTGAAGAAACGAATCCGCACAGCATTTTCTTGTATTTACTCCTATTGCCATACTTTCAAGACACTAATTAGGGATTTTGTCCTTGATAGCCCTGCCAAAGGGAAAAGGTAAGATGTGCAAGCAGTAAAGCATGAAATGTTCTATCTGAAGCCATCGCACATAGAGTTGGAGCTAGTGAAGGAACGAGTCGCCACTATTGTTGTATTAACCCCTAATCAAGGCACTAATTAGTGATTTTGTCAAAGGGAAAAGGTAATATGTGCAATCGATAGAGCATGAAAGGTTCTATCTCAAGAAAAGCAACTTAGAGTTGGAGTAATTGAAGAAACTAATCCCCACAACGTTTTCTTCAACTTACTCCTGATGCGCTTATGTACTTACTCCACCCAGGCTAGAGTGAAGCCAGTGAAGAAACCACTCGCCACAGCATTTTCTTGTAGTTAGTTACTCCTATTGCCATATGATCAAGGCACTAATTAGCCATTTTCGCCTTGATGGCTCTTGAAAGAGAAACAGTAACACGTGCAATCGATCAAAGGTAGAGCTGAAGCCAGTGAAGGAACGAATCGTCACAACATTTTCTGATATTAATCTCTGATGTCATATGATCAAGCCACTAATTAGCGATCTTAATTAGCGATTAATTAGCGATCCTTTATAGCCCTGTCAAACGGAAAAGGCAAGATGTGCAATAAGTAAAGCATGAAATTATCTATCTGAAGCCATCAAAGATAGAGTTGGAGCCAGTGAAGGAACGAGTCGCCACTATTGTTGTATTAGCCTCTAATCAAGGCACTAATTAGTGATTTTGTCGAAGGGAAAGGTAATACGTGTAATTGATAGAGCATGAAAAGATGTATGTAGTGTTCTGAAAAATAGAGTTGCAGCCAGTGAACAAAAGTAATGCAGGACGTTTGCGCCGGCCATTAATTGCGACGAACATAAGTACATTATTGTTTGTTCGGAAGTCAAGAAATCGTATTCTACCAACATCGAAGGGAACTGTCTCGGTTATGCAAACAAATCAAACATTTTCAACACACAATCAGTCTCATCGATTAGTTGGTGACTTAAGAAAGCGAGATATTAATTTGATCAGAAATATGCTGATCATGTTTTGTATATTCATCGTCGGTTGGGGACCGTCATATATTGCAGTATTACGTTTCTTACGTACGTTGAAGTTCTTTTCTGTCTATTGCTAATTCTAAGTGTTTTTCATTTCTTATTGAACAGTTACTCAATAAGGAATAAAAATTGTATTTTCTGGCGAAGCTGAGTGATTGGTGGCCACATATCTCAAAAACGAGACGGCACCTATTTTTGCTAAAAAGCCTCAACACATTGCCGTACATTTTATCACTCAGATGGAGTAAAAGGTAGAAATGGATGGATACTCACTAATTAATTTCTGTTTTAAGTTTTTAATTTGGGCGATCTTGCATTAAACTCATAAGTAAAATGTTTCATCTGCAGAAGAGTAGATCGACATTTGAACTAAAAGATAAAGTTTATTCTCTTCCATTTCATTCACTGGAGAAAAATATATAATTAGCTTTAGATTAATTAAATCGGATTTTAATTAGTGAGTATCCGTCCATTTCTACCTTTTATTCCATCTGAGAGATAAATATACGGCAATCTGTTGAGGCTTTTTAGCAAAAATAGGTAGTAGATAATAGATCATGGGGCAGTATCGTCCTTCGTTTTGGGTATTTAATGGTCACCTACAAACAATTCTGAGCGATAAATTTTGCATAGTTCCACCTATGAGTTTCACTCGTATCTTACTGCCAGTAGCGCATGAAGGTCGAATAGCGACAGACTGGTATACAAGACCTATTCGAAATCAAGCTGTTATGCTCATTACTCAAGGTATCATTCACCAAGAATATTTAGCGGTGCTTATACGGCTGATATACACGAGACTATCTCGTACATACGGACGATAATTTTGGAGATGATACTCCGTTATTTGCTGTCGGTAAACATTTTATCTTCTGATGTGTGAGGAAACTACCACATTTTGACACCTATGGAATTAGTGATGTGTGCTTTAGGTTATTCATGCGGAGCTGGAACACTAATAAAATATTTCGGTGAACAAGCTGATCACTGTCGCTTAACAGCTGCAATTAGTCTATGTGCGAGCTATGATTATATTGCAACGACGAATGGCCTGGAAAAATGGTTTAATTTGAGACTTTACAATAAAGCATTAACTGAAACTTTACTCGGTTATCTCAGAACTCATGAAGGTCAGTTTAAAGATACGACATATTTAAACCTAACTAACGTTTATAGGGCTCGCACCATCCGTGAATATGATATTGCAACAATAGTACCACTGTTTGGCTATGCAGATGTCCTTGACTATTATAAAGAAGGCAGCTCAGGTCCGTGGATTCAACATGTCAGAATACCAAGTCTGATTTCATCGACTATTGACGATCCCATTTGCGTTATTGAAGGGCTTCCGTTATTAGCAGTAAGAAAAAATGAACATGTCATTGCTGTACTCACAAAAGAAGGCGGGCATGTTGGCTGGTTAGAAGGGTGGTGGCCAAGAAAATATACTTGAGAAAGTAGAGTTGTGGTAGAATATATTAGAATAATAATGAAAAAATCCACTATGAGTGGAATACAGATAGTGATCGAAATGCTGAAGAACTATCTGTTGAATATTCGGTGGATACGTTTGAAATTACGTTATAAGATGCATATTTTTGAATAATTTTTAATTCATTTGTGAATAAATTAGGTGTTTCTAGACTTGATGAATTACATATGAATTTATGAAGGAATAATTAGCTAATATGGTAGAAAATTGTGAAACTAATTCAAATCCATTAGTCCAAAAAGGAACACCCGGGAAAAACAACACTACACCACACTACAAGAGATTATCCGCTATACCCCGCTACAGAGTCACTACAGTCCACTACACATCCACTACGTGACCACTACAATGTCACCACAACGACACTACAACGCTACTGCCGTAGTGGAAACAGTGTAGTGTAGTGTTGTCATTTCCCCCTTCGATTTCAAGCATTTACTAAATTCATCGAGATATTCTACTGTTTTATGGTGATGAGAAGTTAGAAAACAAATTAGTGACAAATTTTCTAGCTGAAAAAACGTGGAATTGCAGTAAAAATCATTTTCTGTGGAAAACGTTGTAGTGTCGTTGTGGTGACATTGTAGTGGTCACGTAGTGGATATGTAGTGGACTGTAGTAGCTCTGTGGTGGTGTATAGTGGATAATCTCTTGTAGGGTAGTGTTGTTTTGCCCTTGTTGGAATCTCAAAAAGCTTGTTCTTAAAAAGGCAACATCTTTTTATCGATTTTTGTCTATCGCAGTTCAAAGATTTGAAACAAAAATGTAATTAAAAAAACGAAAGCGTCATTTCGTTGAGTTGTCAGTTCTCTGTCGAATGACCCTAAAACCGACTATCCGACATGCATTAGTATTGAGTTAACGCGGTGTGATCGAAAACTTCCTCTAAGCAGACCACTCATCCTGTTTTAACTATAGAATATGCTATATTCTGTTATCTGTAAAAGAAATTCTTTTATAAAAACTCGTCCTTCATTCAGTCGAGAAATGAAACAAGGCGGTCCGTTCACGTAATAGTAGATTTTTTTGGCAAGTTTTTTTTATGACTGACTATGCTAAAATAACGAAAGGTAGTCGTCACACAGCTATATTTGGTTTGTAACTCAGCAATGAAACCACCAAATTCCATGAATTTTTCAGGACAGAAAATGAAATTCGGTTTACAGGTTTTCTCTAAATTCCAGCGCCATATCTCTGATTTGAGTGAGATAATGGAAAGACAAAGTGAAAAAAATGTGATTCCGTCACGCTTGTATTGGTCGAGCTTCTGACTTACTATCATGGATAAAAAAATACTTGTCGTAGACGTTTAGAATCCAACTCTTCTCGATATGCAAGTGGTTAGAGCACTTAAGACGTATTTTTCGCTCTGTCGCTAAACT